CGCATATTTACCCCCCCCTTTTTTTTTCTAAAAGACTTGAGCAATATTAGCTTTTAGTAGCACTTAGCACATACCCCTAAGTATAGTTCTGCTTAGAGGGTATCAGGGTATTTTCATTTTACAAATGCTTCTTGCACCTCGTCATGCTTGACAGGATACGTAGTGTTAGCCCTGTTTTTTGATGGTGATAGATCTGAAGTGTACATTAAGTAAATCTGCCTTTCCAAGGTTGTAGGAGATCAGTGAGGTAGAAAGAGCCCTAGAGGTCTTGATTTGTTGTGAAGTCTGGACAGGTCCTTTTAAGTCCTCAGTATTAAATACAACTGAAAATTTGAAAGTCCTAGGAAGAAAGTAATTCAAGCCGGTTGACATGCTTTCCAAAGGTCTGCTAAAGGGCTTTTGGACATCGCTTTTGGTGGCAAGGCACAATAGTCTTACAATGATTGGAATATTTGTGCCCTTCTTCCCCTGCTTTCTGGTTCCAGGTCATTCGATCTGCTAGTGAAGAATCTGAATGGGAAGAACTACACCATGACCTTCAACAACCTCCTGAAACCCATCTCTGTGGAAGGAAGCTCTAGAAAGGTCAGTGCACCTCAGCTGTTAGAGATATTTAGGTCCCTCACGAAGTACCATGTTTATTGCCTGACTCTAGTTCAAGAGACTCAGCGCTAACCTTCAGTCCCTCCCTTCTGTCTGTAAAGTCTCTTCATTGTGAACATGATTCTTATTAATCTGTAATTGTCATAACTGTGGAATTACTCTCTGGAATCCGTGGGCTCTTATTTCAAAAGATCATGTCTGGATATTGTATGTTTTTTTTTTTAATAGCTGTCCAACAGGATTTCAGAAATAATTAAGCAGAAAATTCCACTAAGCATCCATTTGCATCCTTGTGCTTTTAAATACCTCTGAGAAATTCTTTGCAATTTTAAGGTCTAAGACTTGTCAGCAGACCGAAATCTTGGGAAGCTTAAATAGGCTTAATGCCCAAAGCAAAGTCTGAAACCTGCTCTGCCTTTTAAGGGTGTGTTGCTCCAGAATTGAACACTAGTAACATTTTACTGCTGATGACTGCAACTGGTGATAGTGTCCTTACTGTGCTACTTGTAGCACCTTTCTGGGCTTAGGGATGTGTCAGATACCTTGTGTGCATTCTGTGCAGTTGTGCGCTGCACTTAATGACATCAAATGTGAAGAAATGGTTCAATTTGATACTGCCCTAAAACTAGGACAGTGTAAAATTAAAACAACTGAAATAAATGAGGGTGACGCTCTGGTGATTTTTAACATGGTATAAAAGCAAGCAGTGGTCACGTACTTGCTAAGCTAAAGCTCCAGCAGACTCCTGTCTGCTGTGGCACGCAGGAGGTCTTTGCGAAATTTAGGTCAGGGTTGCAATTAAATATACTTTGCTTGTAACTTGCAAGCATATTGCAAGATTAAGCAATGCCTTAAAACTAGTTTCTTATCCTTGGAGAAATAAATTGGGAGAGCCTCTACCTGAACTTGGTATTCTTGGAGAAGTCTAGTAAATATAGCCACCCTTTACCAGACAGTCCTGGATACTTTTAGCATCCTGAGAATCACTGAATGGTGTTTCTGCAGCACTGTATCTTCTGTATTGGTACTATAGTACTGTACTAGAAGTATATTAATCACGCCATTTAAATTGTCCACAACGAGGTTAATACTTTGTACCCCAAAGCTGAGTACATACTGTCATTTCTATATGCTACATAATAATCAATAGCTGAGATAAATGTTTCAGGAATTTGCGAGTATAGAAAGAGGTTTATGTTATAAGCTAACATTCATTGTGGTTGTGACTAGCGTCCCTTTATGAAGCATTCTAAATTCATGCGTTGCTGTTCATCGTACAGATAAAGACAGACATGGTCCTTGTGATGTGTAGGAAGAAGCGGGAGGAAAAATGGGAATGTCTCACTCAAGTGGAAAAAGAAAGCAAAGAAAAAGAGTAAGTGTCTCTTCAACCCTCCATCTCGTTTTCCATTTCTTGTTCTCCAGATTGCTTTAGGACTGCCAGGAGAGCAGATCTGTGCTGTACTGACTGTGCAGTCAGACTGTGAGAATTGCTGTTCTGGGGGACAAGCCCCTAAGATGTTTGAGAATCATTAGGTTGGGATTTTTTTGGTACTAGTAGGACTGGCAGTGGAGGAGATACACTTTGAGTAGTTGTTTGCCACTCTTCTACTCTTTCAATGCTAATGATGAAGGCTGCATCATAGGAAATACGATAGATAAGACCTGCAGTGAGAGTACTAAAGATCATCAACCAATTAAAGATTCATTTATACTTTGATGGCTGTATTCATTGCAAAAACTGCTCTAGTGAGGGTGACTTTTTTAGGTTAAGTGTATGTTATATAGAAATACATATATATTCCCTGCAGCTATGCTGGTCAAAATAATTATTATTTTGTCAGCTGTGTGTGAAGTGCCTGCATAAAAATCCCAGCATCCTTTTGGCAAAACAGATCTTTGTTTACTTAGATCATTACACAAAGTCTCAAGCTAATTTATATCGCTTCAAGTGCTTGGGAGCAATCCTACAAGCAGCTTAGGCACTGGATATATAAGGGTGGTAAATTACAGCAGGAAACACCTGGGGACGAGACATTTTATATATATATAAAAAAAATATAAAAAAGTAGTATATAATATAATAATTTTATATTATTTTACAATACACACACATTTTCTTCTCCAGAAGAGAATGTATATACCCACCTTGAAGTATGGAAACACTCAGTTTTGAGAAGGTTATGCCTGCCAACAGGTATTCATTTTGCGTATGTTGATAGGATGATTTGCTAAAACTGATTAATCCTCACTAACCATACCTAAATTTAGAGCAAAAGTACCTTCCCCTCTCAAACGGCATCACTGGAGATTAAGAGAAGGCGACTTGACTGCCGATGTGCATTGCTGGAGGGACAGCGTCATTTTGTTAAACCTGTATCTTGTGCAGGGAAGTCCTGCACGCTGCCCAGCCTGTCACGATTAGTATTGCTGCCCTATTCCAAGTGTTGAGGGTTTACAGTATGACAAATGTGTTGCTTCAGAAATACACCTCGTGCTCAGGTCCATGAGACTGGTGATTAGCCCCGTGCTTGGGGAACTTGCTCCCTCTGCTCATCTATTTTGATCTGCATGTTTTTCAGGTAGCCTGCAGAAACCAGTACCTACCTAAGGGATTTTAGAAAACAGGATAGAGAGGCAGTTTTGCCAGAGAGGGCATTATGTATAGTCTGGTAATGTGGGGCGTGTCATACCCAGGTGCTTACCATGTGGGTGGCACTGGTTGTCAGCTGGCTTCTTAAGTTGAGAAAATTGCTTTGAAATGCAAGGTGTTAAAAAAATGAGTCAATTAACCTTTGGAGATAATCTCAAAAAATGGGAAGCAGAAAATGCCTTTTGGGTTGTGAATGTGGTCACTTCAGAGAGGTCAGTGGGGTCATTTTTCTGGTTTTATTCGCTTCTCACGTAACGGTAGACAGATGTTGGCACTTTCTGGGTCTGTCACATTCCACTCCTGCTTCCTGAAATTAATTTTGGGTGGTGCTTCCAGGGTTATGTTTACTGCAGAATGCTTCCCATCATCCTTAGTGGGACAGCTCTAGGTATATTACTCAACTTGCACTTACTCTTTAGGATTCTCCCTACTTGGAAGCTGACTGAGGCGTGACGGAAGACTGCCAGGGTCTATAGACTTTGCCAAAGCAAAATCCTCACTGTTACCAGGATGTTTCAAACAAGTATTAGCATTTATTTTTTTGCACAGAATTGTTGGAAATACCTGATCTTCTCATATGTATCCATCTTGCAGGAAGGCTGCCTACGACACCTCAGATCCTAGTGAAGGGCTTATGAACCTTTTAAAAAAGATGTATGCAGAAGGGGATGATGAAATGAAGCGCACCATCAACAAGGCCTGGGTTGAAAGCAGAGAAAAGCAATCCAAAGGGGACATACCGATGGATATTTGAAAGTACTCTAAGGGCCGCCTTAATACTGATCTTCCATGTGAGACGCTGTGCTGCAAAGATCATTGTTTACACAACCTTCTTCCAAGCAAAGACAGTCATTTTCCATTTCAGGTTGGAGAAAATATTTAAATAAAATAGCTTATAAAGCATTTCTTTCAGTCAAGTGGTTCACCATTTCCTGAAGAGTGGAGCATAGGTATATCCTTACCCCTCCTTGAAAAAGCATCTCAGATGAGTGGAGTGTGTTGTGAAACTGAGAAGAGAATGTTAAAGAAAAGGAATCCTAAACTAGGATGGGTCAGGGCCTCTCTGTTGCAAGTGACAGCTGTACCCATCTGGTCGCTGGGGCTAATGTCATGCTCACTACATGGGGTGTGGTTTTTTGATTAGAAGTGGGAAAGTATGTTGAACTGTAAAGCATGTCACAAAGGGAGAAATGTTGAAGAAAGTAGAACTACTATCTCAAGCACTTGCTAGTTGAGCAGAAACAATATGGCGTTAATCCTGTGATATTGAAATCTAATGATTACTCTCAGAAATGAATTACTGGCTAACCAGTTTAATTTTGAAAATGAAAGCAGCTCTTTAGCGCCTATGCTGTAACCTCCTTGGGGTGTCTTTGAGGTGGCATCAGTTGCAGGAGAGCAGTGAGCTGCTGATGCTGGGACAGCGAGTTCGCCCTGGCTCTAGCAGTATTTGAGGAAAAGAGAGACAAGCTCCACTTTCTCCTATCAACTTTCAAGGGTTTTAACGTAGCAGCAAGCTATTGAGAGAGCTTATACTCCAAACTTTGACTCAACTGGGGGTGATGGGTTGCTGTCAGTTTGCTGCCTGTGTGCCTTCCATCTGGTGGTAGTGCCATTTTACTTGGCCTGTTTGTTGCAGCCTCTCAGCCCTACTGCTAGGGAGGGGGACAGAGTAGCCATTTCCCCTTTATTGCCCTGCTTTGAAGAAGAGTCCAGGGCAAACATGAGCTTAGTAGCAGGCTTGTTGCTATTGTTTCCTTCTTGCTTCCTCCTGTGACTCTCCCAAGGATGGATTTGTTTGTTACCTGATGAATTAAGGAAGCCATTACTCCCCTATTATGGTCTGGACTAGGACTTACTTGCTACCTTGTTCTTAAAGCATTGGACCAAGCGCTGCACTACAAGCAGGAGATAAATACTAGCACATTGTACTTTCTAACAGGTCCTTTATCCCCTTTGCTTGTTAATATACATATATTAAGTTTGCATAGCAAGAGTATCTAAACTTGAGGCTATGTTTTATTTTCAGTTTGTGCTCATCCTTGTTCATGGCAGAATACTACTTTGCCCTGTTGTACAATTTCATTTATGCTTTTACCCAAATTACCATGGTGAATTTACCGTATGGTGGCAAAAAAACTGCTTAAACGAGCCTTGTGCTGTATGTCTTTATTTCTGACAAACTTCAGCTTAGTTCTGCAACAATTGGTGACTTCCCCCCACCCCCAAAATAAAACTGCCTCTCATACAGACCAGCTTAGTGCAGTTATGCTGCTTCTTGTCAGTTAGCCGATACCAATCACAATCCAGTAAGAGAGTTTAATGAATCAGCATGGCTTCTCATCCCTCCCTTATTAGTTTGATGTTGATGCTGGACTTCTAGGACAGTCTTGTTTCAATTACTCGAACACACAAACTGAGCCTGTTTTGTGTTTTCTGCCTGAATGTATATCCATGCAGTGATCTACCACATAGCCCTCTGTATCCCAGACATCTGAGCATGGTCAGCAAAATGGCGGAAAACAATTCTGCTGAGCCTCCAACGCCGCTTCACCCCCCGAGGGCGGGATGTCAGGACACACCTATTTCGGATCCTCACAGGGCAGCTGTCCCGGGGCAAGTCAGCAATCTCTTTATCAGCCACTTCCTAAAACAGAAGACCACAGCATAGAGTTTATCTGTGTTCCCCAGGATTTAGAGAGGGCTTATTGCCAGACCTAAAAATCTAGGTGTAGAGTAGGTACCACCACAAGCTTCTCTACCACCTCATGAGCGTGCTTTGCTATTTGATAGGGAACTTGCACCTGTTTTCCTCACTTGACCCTTTCTGGCCATCCTAACAGTGAACATAAGTGATCCACATGGAGACCCCAAGGTTAACCTTATTACACAGAATGAACAACCTCATGCCAGTAATTATCATTAGTCAAAATCTGCTTGGCTTTGTCCATGTTGCAGGGTGGGTTAGTCCTTTAAGATGAGCTGAACTTAAATGTATGTTCCTTATTAACTGCCTTCCCAGGTAATATGCTTTGATGTCAGTAAAAGGAATCTCATACAGTATACTTTGGAAGGAGCTACAGGCAGAGGAGGACAAGTCAGTGTCTCTGTTCTAATGAGAAGGCTTAAGAAAGGTCCTTCCATGTACAACAAGAGAGCTCAACAGTTTTCAGGAAGCACCAGGTAGCAGCAGATGGAATTTCAGAAGAACAAGTGAGCTCAGCAGGGAAATGCAGCCTAAAGCTAGGTAAGCGTCCCTAACCGCGGCATTCTTAATATATTATTTTCTAAAGGACAGAAGGGCTCAAAAGAATTCTGTGTTCAGTCATGGTAGAAGTCACAGGTGGAGGTAAAAGGAAGGTCTGAGGCTGGACTGCAAAAACTCCCATTATGTTGCAGGAGTGCTGAAAAGCAATAGTTGTAAGGCTATCTTCTAAAAGGATGTTCACCTTCAAAGGAAGATGGCATCAAGACAGCAGCAATGTGACTTTGAACTTCAATAACAGCAAGGTCAGTAGGACTTTTTGTCTTCAGAACGTATTTCAGTTACTGGTTTTGTCCAGTTGTGCATCTTGTCCATCCAGTGCATACACCCGGACCAAGTGCCGGGTCCTGCACTTCGGCCACAACAACCCCATGCAGCGCTACAGGCTTGGGGAAGAGTGGCTGGAAAGCTGCCTGGCGGAAAGGATCTGGGGGTGCTGGTTGACAGCCGGCTGAACATGAGCCGGCAGCGTGCCCAGGCGGCCAAGAAGGCCAATGGCATCCTGGCCTGTATCAGAAATAGTGTGGCCAGCAGGAGTAGGAAAGTGATTGTGCCCCTGTACTCGGCACTGGTGAGGCCGCACCTCGAATACTGTGTTCAGTTTTGGGCCCCTCACTACAAGAAGGACGTGGAGGTGCTGGAGCGTGTCCAGAGAAGGGCAACGAGGCTGGTGGGGGGTCTGGAGAACAAGTCTTACGAGGAGCGGCTGAGGGAACTGGGGTTGTTTAGCCTGGAGAAAAGGAGGCTGAGGGGAGACCTCATCGCTCTCTACAACTACCTGAAAGGAGGTTGTAGCAAGGTGGGTGTCGGTCTCTTCTCCCAAGTAACTAGCAATAGGACAAGAGGAAATGGCCTCAAGTTGCGCCAGGGGAGGTTTAGATTGGATGTAAGGAAAAATTTCTTTACTGAAAGAGTGGTGAAACATTGGAACAGGCTGCCCAGGGAAGTGGTGGAGTCCCCATCCCTGGAGGTATTTAAAAGATGAGTAGATGAGGCACTTAGGGACATGGTTTAGTGGGCATGGTGGTGTTGGGTCGACGGTTGGACTTGATGATCTTAGAGGTCTTTTCCAACCTTAATGATTCTATGATCTTATTTGCATACATGGCTGTATATACACACTCTATCTAGTACAGCTAAACACTTGCAGTATTTTTTTGGCCTATTTAATTCCTATGATTTTATTCAGAAAGTAGCCTATACTTTCAGGGAAGACCTGTAGCTTCATTTTAAAGACTTTAATTTTGGGGCCCAAATAACGTTTTGTTGGGGAGGAAAAAGTTACTTTCCTGGAGTAGCTGTCTTCAATCTAACTGCTGCTTTGACTTTGTGACTTCAAAAGGTGACAAAAGCAGCTGAGGAATACCAAAAGCAAAGCCAGTTGCAATTCACTTACTCTTCCCCTGTAAGGACATCCAACGCAGACTAGACTTGCCAAGAGAATGGTAAAGTCAATACATAAAGCCAGATTCATACCCTTTCTCTCCCAGAATGTAAGAATATTTCTGATACTTGCAAATGTTTTTAATGCTTAGTAAGGAAGGCTGAGAGAAGGCAGTGAATATGTGCATTTTTAAGAACAGATCTAACACCCAAATCTGATGCAGCTTTTACATGCTTGTAGCTCAGGCAAGGAGTAAAATTAAGTATTTCTAATTGAACAAATCAGTGGTTTTGGCTGGATCAGGCTTCCAGGTTTTTAACTTTAATTTTTTTTTTGCTTATTTATTTAGAAAACTATAAAAGTAACCATACAATATCCCATACTATTGGAAATAAGGAAAATAGCTTTCTGAATGTATGTTAGTGACAGCTGTGAGGGGAAAAAAATGAGACTTCGTCGTATGTAGTGTTACATATACTGCTTACATGAGAAGCACTGGTTTAAAAAACAAACCACAACCCAACACAGAGAGCCTCTAGTCAGGAGAATACACTATGGTTGTAAACACCCCCAAAAGGCAGATGCTCTGAAGACGCCTGGGCGCTAGCAGTAACTATGCAATGTGACATGATTCTGTGCATGTGAGCTAGGGAAATGCAAGCGTTCGGGACCTGGTGCAGCCGCTGTGGCCCAGCGCACATCACAGCAGTACAAGCCACGCACGGGCTCGTACCCTGCCCTGGCTGGGGTGCAGCTGCGGGGCGGCTGCCCAGTACCTGCAGCTCCTTGGGAAGGATGGTGTTCTTCCGGATGGCGTTGATCCGCAGCCTCTCGTCTGCGTACTCATACGCCAGTTTCCTTCTCTTGACGTCCCGCAGCATCCTCCAGTCCACGTAGTAGCTCCGCACTTGCCTTGTGCATGGTGAGGAGACAACCTAATTAAAAAAAGTTAAGTTTATAATACTTACCTGTTGCACATACAGTTTGCCCAATTCAAGTATGAATTATTCCCATAAACGTCTCTTTATCAGACGTTTTCAAATTACTTTCTTGCAGCGCAGCTCCTGCCCAAGAAATGTAGGGTGTGATTCAGTTTAGTTCACAAAAGCCAGCAAGGAATTTACGGTATCGGAGACACAAATAACCCCGAAGTTACAAAATTACTTTCTTGCAGCGCAGCTCCTGCCCAAGAAAAATGTAGGGTGATTCAGTTTAGTTCACAAAAGCCAGCAAGGAATTTACGGTATCGGAGACACAAATAACACCCCGCCGCGGCCGGGCGGGACATGGCCCCGAAGGGGAACAGGGGAGGGAGGGAGCCGGGCTGACCTGCCGAGCGGCCCGCAGCGCCCAGCCCAGCACAGAGACCGCCATCTTCTCGGTGCGCTGCAGCGGGTCCGCGCATGCGCCTCGGTCGGGTGGGGGTGGGGCTGCCGCCAGTGCGGGGTCCCGGGATCTGAGAGCATCCCCTGCGTGCCGCCGTGGGGTCCCGTCCCGACGGGCAGGTCTTCGCTCTCCGCGTCCATCCTTTCACGGTGAAACTGTATTTCCAGTGCCTTTGCGGGTGGAAGAAAAAAAGGAGAACTCAAACCGCTTTAGGGGGCTGTGCTGTACATCCCGGTGCTGATGTCAGCCTCGCTGACACCTCTGTCATTAGAGGGAGCTGGCATCTTCCACAGAAACCTCAGGATCCGACTCTGGGTGGACCAAAAGGATCCCAGGTTGGAGAGGAAAGTCTGTAAAAATGACAGGGGAAAGAGTCCCACCAGGAAAATGTGATGCAGAGACATCACACCGTGTTGTGGGGTCCCTGTTCAGAAAAGCACATTTGTTCTGTACACCTGTCATTGCTGTGTATTAAGTTATCTGCCAGCTGCTTTCCTAAATGTGGTTTTAGTTTTGTTTCTTAAGAGTTTCTTTGTCTGCTTGCTTATCACCTAGGACTATTGCTAAATTTGTATCAGCGTTTTGCATTTTTTTAACTCATGAATTTTGGGTAAGTTACAGCATTTTACAGACCAAATTGAATAATCATAACCCTGAACAATGAAAAATATATGGGAAATTCTGCTTCTGTCGTTCTTAACTGCCCTGTTGTTTTGTGAGAAGAAATGTCCTGTTCTATCTTAACTGCCCTATTGTTTTGTGAGAAGAAATGTCCTGTTCTACTGACTGAGACTTCACTTAGGCAGTGTTTAAAATAAGTCTCCTGATTTTAGGGAGAACAGCAATTAAGTTTTTGATGTTGAATTAATCATTTTGATTAATTTTTCCATTCATAACAGCTTGTTAGCTACAACTGATTCTCTCTCAGTTTGTCATGCTGCTTGTTGTCTGTGTGCCAGGCATTTTACTTAGATGCCTGGTGCATTCCACCAGTCCTGAAGTACCTAGGTATAATCTGGAACTAGTGGCCAGATTGGCAGGCTAATGCAGTCAAATTTTATTATCCATGCTGCACTCAGCAGCAACAGCTTCCACAATAACTTACCCACCTAGGCTAACGGTGCAGATGATGGTGATCAGTGGAAAGAGGCCATTTTTGGTGCTGATGAAGTGGTTAATTCTCCACAGCCTGGTCAGTTTCTGACTGCCTTGCCAACCCTTGGTTGTTGTAACACCTGTAACCCAGGTGTTAACTACCCTGAAGGTTTTTCTCCTGTGGATGTGCCAAGCTGAAACCACTAATACCTGTTACACAGAACATTAAACTGGCATAGAGGGATAGCTATTTTCACTTCTCATTGCTTTACGTGGGTCTTGTGAGCCACAGAGAGGTGAGATGCTTGTCACTGGCCTCATTTCCCATCTCTCTGTGCTCCCTCCATACTTGGAGAAGCCAGAAGGCTGCTCTTAAACTTGTGTGAGGGTCTGTCTACAGAGGGAAACTGCAGCAGCAGAAAGGGCTCAGCCTGCAAAGCCTGTGGGCTGCAACCCTTCTGTGAGCTGATGTCTTCAAAACTCAGGCTGTTTGCCACTGTGCTTCCCAGTGATGTGGTGTGTTGGTGCATGACTGGCTTGGAAGTAGGTTTCAGGTGTTTGCAGGAAGAGAATTTCAAGCTTTGTTCCCTGATGTTATTGTCTATAACTTCCTATTTTTGCAGCTTCCAGCTGGTAAAAGCAATCTGTAGAATATCAGCAGAGCAAATAGAGTAGGGAGCTGGATGTGATTAAAGAGGATTAGGATGTTCGGATGTTAGGATTAGGATGCATTCGTTTCTTCAATATTTTGTTCCACTTCCCCTTGGTCAATCTGTGTTTGTTAAATGGTCCAGATGAGTGAGGAACCAGCGAGTGTGGGAAGGAGAACCATTTCTTCAGCCAGGACTGAATCCCTCCCTTGCTCAATAGCATCACCTGTGTAATCATCACTTTCCCAGCTGTGGAGGTGGGACCATGCATGTTGCCTTGCAGTACTATCTTTCCCTTTCTGTAACAGGGTTGCCCAGGACAGAATGTTTGGTTCTTACAGTTTTAAAAAATACAAACTAAGTGAGAAAGCACAGAGCCCCAGTGCGAGTTACTGGTGTTTGCAGTGTTCAGTGCAGTAAGCATGCTGTATTTGACTTCACCATCCTGCTGCAGCGACTGAGATTAGCAAGTGCTAATGATGCATGTTGAAAGCCCTTAGGCTGCTGTCGTCTTCAGCTCCCTCAGTGCAGCTTCTGGTTGCAGTAAAGCAAAGCAACTGGTCAGAATCTGAGACTGTTAGCTAAAAACTGAGCTCAGTAATGCACGTGGTTAAAATAATCTTGTTGGGTACCTTAACAATGCGTACAACACGTAATTTGCTTTCTTTTAAGTTCTTGAGGGTTTTTTTTAAGTATTGTCCTGGATAAGTGCGGTGTTGTGTTTAACTACTGCTGGTTTTAAAAGGTGTTTTATTTTTACTTTCTGTGTTACTCCACCTGACTTTCACATCATTAATACTTCACATGTGCTTGTTAGTATGTGGGTCTTGGTGATAATTCTGAGATGCTTACTGCCAGATTTACGGGGCTGGAAAGGCTTTCTGGCTTTTGACTAGAAGTGGAGCATAAAACAAATAGGAAATGGTTCTTTCTGCTGGTGTGCAAGGCTGATACTGAGTGTGGGAATTGCTCCCGAACCCAGTGTGCTCCTTAGGTGGTTTGTGGGAGGGAAACACCCCGAGGCCTCTATTGGTTCCTTTCATCTGTTCCATGGAGACTCAACCAGCACCAGCCCCTGAAGTAAATTTTGCAGCTGGACTGGGAAAAGGAGAGGATTTGGTGACCTTTCAGCTTGCTCAAATTACCTTTGCAAATGGTGGCCGTATCAGAACGGCTCTGAACCAGACAGCTGAAAGTACTTGAAAGGTAAGAGAAAAGGATTTTTATTTCCTTTGAGATTCCTGTTGTTTGTTCTGAATGAAAAACCCAGACAATTTTTCTCTGACTTCCTATAGCAGATGCCCTCCAAGGCTTTGAAAGCCTTACACAAACATCAATAATTCTGTATTATAGGCATGTATTATTATTGCAAAATGTATAGTAGTATTTAATGTCACTCCATTTTGAAGGGCTTAAGCTTTCCCAGGTTGTCTCCTCCAGCCATATGAAACCACATATCTGCAAAAAAAAATGGGAGTTTTGCCTTTGGCTTTAATGGAGCTAGGGTTTAACCTAGAAGTTAATTATTTTAGAATGCTTGTTCCTAGTAATTTCCATTTTAGGCTCTGATTTCTGTGTGACAGTAGTTGTTTTAAAAGCCGTTCCTTTTGTCGTGAGGTCATGCTGGAATTTGATCACACATCTTATAATTGCAACGAACACTCTTAGTAATTTTTCAATATTTTCTCATGCAAAATCTCTTTCTATGCCTTCTACTGCACCTTTTCACAGACTCAGTGGTGGAAGCCAGTAGAAGTTCTTTACTGCGTAAAGTGAAATATATCACTAATTCCACAATAAAAGTACTTTATCGATTATACTATTTATAATAAAAATGTCATTCATTGGATAAGTAAAATTGATCAAATACAGGAGTAACAAAATTTTTGAGCTGTGCAGGCAACAGGACAAAGATTTGCTTCAGGAAAGACTGACTGACTTAAACTGGCAGCTGATGAATTAACAGAAGGGAGCTAGGTCATTTGTTACAAAATGCGTATTTATACTAACTGGCAAATGTGCAAATACTATTAAGCCTCTGCACTATCTAATGAGTATGTGGGATTTCGGAAGCAATCTCTCATTCATGTATGAACAGTTAATATACCTTGCTTCTCAGACATTGCAGAAGAATTAGCATGAAAGAAAAGGTAAATATAAGGATGAATCTAGAAGTACAGTATCTACCTGGCTGATTATAATTCTGTTTTTCTATTCATTATTTCAAATCATCCCAAACTTCTGTAGTGTTAGGTAAGGTTCATTCAGTCTGGAAGTAAAAAAAGGTAGATACTTGCAAAAGAAACAATCTTGCTAAAGTAATGGTTACATTTTTTTGTTGGCAGTCATTGGTTGCATTAATTGCAACCATTGATTGTGTAAAGATTGCATAATACTGAAAACAGAATGCTGGCTAGCTTATACAGCAGTTGCATCGAATGACTTCTGTGACCAATACCAGAGAAAAGGAAGTCTGATGCAGAGCTTTCTAAAGCAGATGAGGTCTGGAACAGTAGAATAGTTTCACCACAGAAAATAAAGACAAATAATCCAATTGGTTAAACTATATTATACTTATGGAAAGTCTGTAAAATTAGTAGCTTGTCTCAACCGAATGCTTCACCGAGAAAAATATGTAAAGCAGAAGGAAAATGGGCTAGACTTCTTAGCAAATGAGTAGTAGTATTATGATTTTGTGCATGTTTTGAACCCCCCTTCATTTTTGTCAGACTGCTAACGAAAAATAGTAGCCTCTATGACTGAGTTCTGCTCTTTGGTGTTACTGACTTGTGTCATTCTTTATTGCTAAAAGGGTTGTAAGATGTAAGGAGCGCGACTGTATTCCAACTTACTCAGAGATGAGCTGGTTTATCAACTTCTGTGCTGCTACATCTTCTGCATCTAAGAACACGGCTTTGCCATGTGCTTCTGCAGATGAATTTGCTTCTCTCCGCAGGCTGCTGCCATGCACTCCCCTGCTCCCACATTGTCACCTCCATGCTTTAAACAGTATGGCATTCTACAGTCAACATCCATTTGAGGGCAGAGCACATGATAAATATCCATCACTGGTAATGCTTGTGTCTCCTGAGCCTAAAAGCTACCTTCCTGGTGTTGTTCAGACAGGTCTGTTGCTGCTTTTCTCGAGAGTTATTCAAGTAAGTGATGGCTGTTTGGATATCGGCAGCACTTCTGTGAACTTGCTAAGGACTTTCTGACATGTCTTCTAATATTTGTTATTCCCCTTGTGTTCCTCAAGAAAGCCCCTGGCTTTA